TGAGTTGGGTCCGCTCAAGGCCTGATACCTGCCCATGGTGACCACATCGTTTTTCAGTCATCTTGATTATTGATAATGATAATAACTAATTCATTGATAATAACTGATGAGAAACCAGTCAGTTTGCCTCAACTGCTGGATTGTTTTTGTTCCACATAAATTGTTCCATGTGCCACCCTCCCCACATGCATTTACCACAGAACTGAAGATGCTTATACAATTGACATTAAAACATCTTGACTTGGAAACCATTTATGCCTCAGTCATGTTGTGAGGCAACCCTCTTCAAGGAGACCACCTGTCCAAGGTGACCACTTTTTTGTTGGTCCCCTGGGTGGCCAGATTGGACAGGTTTCACTGTATGTATGTTAAACATGTATATCTTAGATAAATATACATACATATACATTACATATGTATATTTATGGGTTCACCACACCACGAAGTGGTGGTGAACCCATATTGCTTTTTCTGATGTTTCTTCTCCTCCTCCTCCTTCTCCTCCTGCCATTCTTTAAATGGATTCAGCTTCTTCATTTTAGGGCCTAAGGTCCTGAAATTTGGTATGGAGGTACAGTGGGCAAATACCCCTAGGCGTTTTTTAAATTTTTGTGATACAGGCTTTTAGAATGGTTTTATTTGAGTTTTTTGGCTGTGTTATAGCAAATGTAGTGTGTTAGTGTGCCGTGTTTACCACGTCTGGGCATGAGTCATCACAATGGAATGCAGGGCATCAACCAATAGGCATGCAGCTTTCCTCTATACTTCTTGCTGATTGGCTGTTGGGATTTAACTTGATTAACACCTGCACAGAGCATTTCCACCTGCACAGAGCATTTCTTGCTGATTGGCTGTTGGGATTTAACTTGATTAACACCTGCACAGAGCATTTCCATACTGACAGTATGTCTTTATTCAAGTGTTTTGGTAGGTATTTCAAGCTTTTCTGCTCCAGCATTGGAATGCGGGGCATGAACGTTTTTTTATTTATTTTGAAAATCAACAGTTTGCATTATACAATTAAAAATCCTAACCAATAAAGTAGGGAATAGCTATCCAACTGTTGTTTTAGTTGTATGTTACTTCATATTATAGTTATATCAATGTAAATCATTGTTTTCCCTAATGTGTTTCTCATTCTTTCCCTGCCATGTCGTAAAATGTGGTGAACCCATCGCTGTATTTGCTCCAAAGCAAATATTGGCCTTTCTAGTATGTATATAACTTTCGTTAATTATGTATGTTTGTATCTCTCTCTCCCTAAAAAATATACACACATATAACGTTATATATATATGTATGTATGTATGTATGTGTGTATGTATGTATGTATGTATGTATATGTATATGTATATGTATATGTTATATATACATACATACATACATACATACATACATATACACACACACACACACACACATACCACTGGGTGCGAAATCTATCGTCTCCCAAGACGGAAAGATGTTGGTTACCGCTCTATAATCTGTAGACTTACCTTATAACCACAGTTTGATTCTTGCTGGTTCGGACCATCTTGAGAAATGCAGTGTTGGCAACTGCAAACAAGTGCCTACACAAAAGCAAAGAATCAGACTTTCATTGACATTTTGCATAGACTCCAGCTGGCCTCTACAATTTAATTCTACATATTCTTCCACAAAAGGAAAGATAGTATAATGGTCTTCAAATTCACCCGTAAATAATTTCAGAGTTGCAGAACTCCAGTCAGAAGCTCTGAGAAAGGTGTCTGATACACATCGAAACGTAAGCAGGTGAGAACCTTACTGGTTGTGTAAGAAGAAAATTCTATACCCTAACCATCTTCAAATACAGTTTAGAGAAGAGTGAGGGTCTTATTATTCATCAGTTTCCACAAGTTGAATATATCAGAGAAGGGCAGGGTTTAGCAAAAATATCCATATCACAGGTATGGGGGATAAATTCAATTCTTTATTTCATACCAACGTTGCAGACATACAAAAATATGTGTTGCCTGAATGGCATTGGTATTTACAGCAATAACAGCAAGATAAGTACATAACATATATTACACATATATACATACTATTAAAATATATACATTAAATCAACAGGGCATCCCAGATATGACACGTTTACACAGTCTGGTTGTATAGTCTGATAGACTGATGTAGGAACGAGTTCTGGAGTCTTTTTGTTCTGGCTGGGGGGGATGGATATAGTGTTCTTGTTCCTAAGAGAGCGTCCAGTGGTGTTAGCTCTAGAGACAGGGACGAGGTCATGTAGGGGGTGGTCCTCCTGGAGCATCTGTCTAAAGAGTTTCACAGCGGCATCCTCGCGCCTCGACTGCAGGGTGGGTAGTTCGGGAACGTCATGCCTGCCAGCTCGGCTGATGATGCGGAGGGCTCGCTGTTGGACCCGCTCCATCGCACGCTCCTGTTCCTTGCTACATCCAACAAGTAGGACATGTCCATACTCAAGTACAGGACGCACAAGTGCCAGGTATACCAAGACCAAGTCTGCAACACTGGTTCCTTGTTTAGAGAGTAGCCTCAGATAATGAAGTCTACGAGAGGCTTTTGTGACCATAGAAGTGACTTGTTCTTGGAGGGTTAAGTTCTTGTCGAGGATGAAGCCAAGGCCTTTTGCACTGTCAACCCAGGGTACGCACGCTCCCCCTAGGGATAGCCTTGGTGGGCTGGGAACAGATCTGCAGAGACATATTTGTAGCATTTGACTCTTCTTCCCATTTAACAGCATGTTGTTGGTGTTGGCCCAAGAGTCAAGGTGAGATGTTTCTTCCTTGAGTGTGTTGTCTTCATCTGCTTGGCGTACAAGAATAGTTCTGGACATGGAGACATCGTCTGCATATCCCACGTTCATGGTGTCAGGATGAACTGTTGTTCTTGATGCCATGAATAGCAGAAAGAGGTATGGAGACAGCACACCACCCTGTGGGACACCTGATGTTGGCTCCTTCCAGGAGCTGGCCACCCCGTTGACCACTACTCTCTGACGCCGACCGCTGAGATAGCTGTGAATCCACGTTACCATGTGTGGACTAGCCTGGATATCGATCACATGCTGTAGCAGAATAGCATGGTCGACTCGGTCGAAGGCTTTCGACATATCAGCGAACAGAGCTCTGACTTCATAAATATTGTTTTTATATCATGATTTTTTCACATGCCAAATGTTGATAAGGCCACAAAAATTCGGATTTGCCCACTTCATATTTTTCTGATTTGAAATTACAACTGGTCTAAATCAATTGGTAGTCAATTTAATTTTGCATAAATTATATGACCTAAAACATTAAAAGTACCACTTGTGTGTCTCACACAAGCGGCACGTTGGACGACAGTAGTGAAGACGACGATGACTCTACCGATGTCACTGATCCATGCACCTCCAAGCCTTCTGTTTAAGAGTTGTGAGAGCTGGTAACTTGCAGCAACAGGCTGCACGTGCACGCAGCAGAGCTGTCATGACAGGGATCAGACCCCCCAAGTCAAGACCAAACCCAAGAAAAGTCGAGACAAGCTCAAAAGCTGCCTGATTCGGAAGGCTCATGACAAAGTAGGGAGGTAGAGTGGCCCCATATGCGCGTGATCAAACACATGTGTTCGATGAAACTCCACCGACCCATGATTCACTTGCTTGGTATCAGTTCATGTCAGGTCAATGACCCTACAGTAAAGTCGCATGAGTGACAGGCCAGGATGGCCATGTTCCAGGATTTGTTTAATCCAAATTGACTTGAATCAACTTGACTATTACCGGCAGAGTACTTTGAACAGATTTAATTTCTACATCATTAACAGGACCTGAGAGGTGAATGATGACAAACTATACAGGGAGGGGCTCCCAAGAGCCTAGTGAGAGTTTGTTACACAGACTACATTTTTGTACATTCCTTTCAAACACTAGGCTTCAAGAAGATTCCATTACTATTTTTTGGAGGTTACAAATACATGTAGCAAGTCATAAGAACACAAGATCTTGTTACAAATGTACATCAACATTGTACATCACTTACAGTGAGGGAATTAGTGATGATGGTACTGTATGAAACTGAATAAGAAGGTAACCAATGATGATTAACATTAAAACAGCTTTTGTCAAATAATCGTCTGACTTACGGGGGAAGGTTGTCACCGATCATGGCTTTCTGATATTCCTTCACTACATCAACCCCATAGATGTCACATGGTTTGTAGGGGTTCAGTGCCACCAAGATGGAGCCAATGTAAGTCTGGTACCAAACAAGGAAAACATTGTAACAGTAAGATATGAGTGTGAAACATTGGGTTGTTTCTCTGACCTAATTTCAGGTAGTGTTTGAAACCACCATATTTTCAACTCCATGAAAAACGGAGATATTGTTTTTGGTCCGTCTTTGTGTATGTCTAGTCAAACTTTATTGCACAATGATTGTAACAGGTACAGGGCTCGAAATACTGGATGCATGTGCACCTAAGTTACATTTTGGAGCTGTGCACCCAATTTTTCCACATGTAAAGTTGTCAAATGTATAGTAGTATACAGCATATTCTTAACATTGCCAACATCTAAGTGTCAGAAAAGTAATAAAAGCATTGTTGTAGTACCAGTACTTTTCTTTAGCATTTTCTGATTAGTTTTTCTGACATTCTACCAAATTGAATTTTATCTTATGGTGCACCCCAAAATTTTTTGTGCACCTAATTATTTAGGTTGGGTGCACCAGTGCACCTATTCCCAAAAATGAATTTCAAGCCCTGAGGTACAACGTATGGCAGATAATAAGATCACTAGCTGGTGCGAGTCTATCAAAATTTTACATATCAGTTCATCGGTATGTCTGGCAGGAGGTTGAATAGAACTACAACTGTACTAAGAACTAGTAATCTCTTTTGTGTACATTCTAAAGCCTCTGTCACAACCCGCCGTGTATGCTTTTTGTCTGTACGTTCCTTTGGGAGGCCATGTCTACTACGTTTTTCTGAAAACATGGGGAAGGACTGGCATGAGCAGTACGCCAAACGCACGTCACTCACACGGTTGCAAAGGTGTAAGTATGTGGTCTGCATGCCGTGAGCGATTGGAGCGTGTGCATCGTTCGTTGCGCAAGTGGTGAGTTGTACGTGCTTACAACGTACGATCTCTGTGCGATTGCCACACCATATGGAGGCCGTACTCAAACGTGCTGCTTACGTACGGTACGTACCGGTATGTACAGGACATGCGCGTCGCCTGTACTAGCTCGTACAAGGGATGAATCCGCAGCCCGCATGCAGAGAAAGTTTTACATGCACTTAAAGTTCTACGGCATGTCTGCATGCTTCCAAATCCGTAGGATTCCGTACGGAGGTGGTACTCACCATTTACAGATCCCAAAAATTTGCCCACGTTTTTGTACGTAGACAGCACGCAATTGTGCATACAGCGGGTTGTGACCAAGGCTTAAGCTATGCTGTACTATATTCATAATATTGAGTACAATGAGCAGTTGTATAATACTATACAGGTTCTATGAGTACTATGCTTTACAGAGTGTTGCCTAAATTACTGGCGAAGGTCTGTCCAATTGTATATACATGTACATGTATTCTAAGATAGATAAGATAAACATATTGCATCACATAGAAAGAAAGCTCTTTAAGGAAAGGCAATAGAACAATCTACATAACCTTAGTAAAACAAACCCACAAAAATGTTGGAAAAAGATGAAATTACAAAGATAGGAAGACAATGACAATCCTGTTGAAAACAATAACATTAGTCCTGATTCATTCAAGGTGGAAGGATACCTGGAAGTAAGCTTTGGGTCCGAAATCAATTGTCACCCAAAACACACCTGACTTCTTACACTTTTCAGCCGTGTTGGTAGTTAGCGTCATTTTACAGTAGATTGTGAGAAATGTGAACTCATACATGACCAATCCAAACCCCATCACATTTTCTACCGAGCGCTGCCATGGACCCGTCGTAAAAGAACTGGTTTGTGCACCGTTCAGGTAAGATTTTTAAACTTTCAATGCAAACTCAGCTGATCTGTTCAAAAAGTACATAGTACATGTAGTACTTACATAGATCTGATGTTCTTCAAATCTTCTCTTCAAGTTAAGGATGACTGAGCCCTCATGTAATACCCTGCAAGTGAATATGAGACCAGTTTAACTAAGAGTTACACATTCCATCGGTACAAATTTGGGTAACATCTGTGTCCATAATATCACCAGGGTCCATAATATCGTCACCTTGACTGAGGCTTGAGGAACAGTGTGCTTAAAGATATTTTTACTGCAACATACTTTTGGTATGTACTCCTTCACACATCAAATGTACATACACATGTACCTAGGGTATGTTGCAGTAAAAATATCTTAAAGCACACTACATTGTATTTCTCAAGGTGGCGATATTATGGACCCTGGTGATATTATGGACACAGATGTTAAATCCATTCCATTTGTGTTGGAAGTTGTAGTTTTTTTACTTGTTTTAGAATACAGTACATTGTTACTAGTACCAGTAAGTGCGCCCGCACAAAACTGGTACCTGCACAATAGAATATCTGAGTTAACGACATGTACATGTACCTCAGTTGGACAATACAAAACTGTACCTCAGGTTTATCATGTTTGCCATGCCGTCTTCATCCCTGTTCCTGGGGCGGATAGAAGGGCTGTCAGTCTCCACAATGAAAATCTGAAATCAGAACAAGACTTTAAAAGTCAAGTTTGATATATGTCCAAATTATGCAAATAAGATCTTAATAAACACATTCCAATGATGTTCCTTTCTTCTGAAATTAGGATATTATAGTGACCCGTTTGTTCTGTTCTTTTAGGAAATATGTTGTTTTATTTTATTGGATGCCTACTTTCAGAGACATTGCATATAGACGTAATTATTTGCTTATTCACTTTATATCAGTTCTTTGCTAAATGTCTATCTAATATTGGATATCATCATATTGCTTATAATTAGAATATAAGAACAATCTGCTGCAGCAGGCCAAAAGAAGGGGTTCTCTCGCCATTCTGAATTTTCGCACAGCGTGCTATCCTGCACTGCGGGTGTCCGCCACGCTTCCTAGCTGGTCACATGTCTAAAGAGAGCCGTCGCTCACAATGATTGTTGTGGCCCAAAGTGACATCTAGAGGGAGAGTAACTAATACACAACAGATCTTTCAGGGTGGTTAACACTGTCAGTCTGTTACACAACATGCTGTCCTTACTTTAGGTCCCATGGGGGACCAGCTATTTAAACATTTTAGGTCACATATAGGCATATAATTAGTGTGATATTATTGAGGTACAAAACCGGTACTGACGGATTAGGTATTTTGGACCTGTACCTGATCTATTTTTCTGGTACAAAACTGGTACACATGTACCCGGTACACAGATCTGGCCCATGCACACTAGTCTGGGAGCCTTCAGAGGATGTCATCCATATTAAAAAAATGGAGTCAGCTGTGTGGCGTTAAGTTAATTAAGACACCATCATTTGCAGAACCTATAAGGAATTATTCAAAACTAGAAAGGCCAACATTTGCTCAAGAGCAAATACAGCACATTTCACCCATTCTTCCTCTCCATTCCAAATTTCCCCTAGAATAGTAGAAAGGCCATTTGATCGGGAGTAAATGCAGCATGGCTTCACCACATCCCCCGTACCAAAAATGGACCGATCCCCCTCTCGCACAAATGGATTGTTCCTAAATCACCCCTGTTTAAAATGTGAACTGTTCCCACAGTTTTTCTGTCCGATTTCTCACAGACACCATCCCCGCCTCAGCTCCGCTAACAGTTTATCAACTGGGACATGATCCTGGAGTGTGTTCTCCCAACATGTCCCAGCTTCTGTGGGGCACCGAAGAGCATGGACTTTGTCTTATCAGGATGAAGAGAAAGTCTATGTCTATTTTCAATTAACCAATCTGACACTTTCTTCATATCACTCAGCCTCCTCACACTCTTTCACTGTGCCCGCCGAGTAATCTGTGTGACTCTGGCCTAGTTAAACTCGTATCTTTCTCGTCAAGAAGCGTGAGGAGCTCTAGATCCAACATGATGCCTACTTTCAGAACAAAAACCCAACAGTTTGCTTCCTCGTATATTCCTAGACTTGCATGTATTTGGAATAGACTATCAGCCTTCTTGGAACATTGACCTTATATAGGATTGTCCTGTGAGCCACATTTACATGTAAAGCAAGTTTCAAAATTATACTATGGTAAACATACCCCACATGCAGTCATCACCTGTATAAAGTCCTAATTTACGACTCCTGTAGCCGCTGACTTTGGGCTATAGTTAGCAAAGTATAGTTAGTAGTCTGTTGAAACTTAGCTTTTGGTTTGAAATTTGTAGCAAATTGTCTCAAACACAACTATATAAATATAATCATATAGATGTTGAAAATCAGCTTGATAGAAGAGCAGCATACCTGTTCATCCAAGACATTTCTGATCTGCAGCTGGGTAGATTTTACTCCAAGGAAACCCAGAACTTCTCCAGGCAGTGGGTAGCCTGCACCACCATCGAACCATACTGATGACTGCCAATTTGAAAAAAAGAAGAGAAAATGCAGTTGAATATCAGATGGACAGTTTAACAGTATGCTATAATGTTATACATGTATGAATAAATAAAGAAAATGATTTACTTTACCTGACATTCAGGTAAATATGCTTGTTTTTCCTTTAATCTGTAGTTTTCTTGCAAGACAAACATAACCAATTGCATTGAAAATCATAAGGCAGTTGCCACGTCTACACATGTCCCATCCAAAATCAAGGTACAAGGTACATTTGACATGTAGAATCAGATACAGATGTAGAGCAAGCAAGAGCAGCAGAACTCCAGTCAGAAGCTCTGAAGGTGTCTGATAGACATCGAAACGTAAGCACTTAGGTGAGAAATTTTGGTTGTGTAAAAGAAAACTCCTATATCCTATACCTTACCAACCTGATGAAACTATTTTCGGAAATTATAAATTAGTAACAATGCAGAAAGTAACATCACCCCAACTCCATACAACAAAAACAAGAGCTAGATGCGGAACATAACAAACGGGGGGTGCCCTAATTCCGATCTATCCCTAATTCCGAACTAGTTTGAAAAATCATTGTTGCAGCATCAGTGTTTCCGCCAGGCGGCCGTCCAGCCGTCCTTTGACGCCCTCTTCCCGCTGGGGACGGACGGCTTAAGCCCGTGAGGAGACTGTCCCGAGGAAAAATATATTTTCAAACACTGACATGGGTTAATGGAAAAAGGAGTCCAGTCCGATTGGCGGAAAAAGCAGTCCAGTCCGATTTTGGGGTGGAAAAAGCAGTCCGGTGGTTTCTACGAAATTTTATGAAAGACCATAGGCACAATTTTTTTCTTGTGTGTGTACTTCTAGTTTCTATGGGTACTTCGAGTTTCTATGAGTACTTTGAGTTTCTATGAGTACTTCGAGTTTCTATGGGTACTTACTAGTAGAGTTTCTATAAGTGCTTAGAGTTTGCATGGGAACTTACAGTTTGTAACTTACATATCATCATCATCATCATGCCTCCGGATTATTTACTTACATATAAGTAATAATAATTAGTCAAAAGATGAAGCGGTCAACTGACGAGATTTCCAGGGCCGATCCTGCTTGCAAGTTGCCTGATTAAATCGCTTTACGGTTGCCAGCTGCCCAACATCCAGCCGGCCCCTGCTAAAGCCACGTATGGCAGACTTTGCATTACACCGACAAGCATGTAAGTACCGGAAGTACAATTGTAAGAAAGAATCCCTTAATAAGTTAAACTTTTGTTTATTGTGGATAGGTGACCTGTATGTATAGAAACTACTTTTCGGTGGTCCCAAGATGTGTAAATCAGTTGTCCGCTATTCCTCACCCAAGGCTGCCTGAATTACGGGTTAAGGCGGCATATAGTGAGTCACATATATGCTAATTCAAGTTCCCATACAAACTCTAAATAGTCATAGAAACTCTAAGTACCCATAGAAACTCTAAGCACTCATAGAAACTCAAAGTACCCATAGAAACTAGAAGTACACACACAAGAAAAAATTGTGCCTATGGTCTTTCGTAAAATTTCGTAGAAACCACCGGACTGCTTTTTCCACCCCAAAATCGGACTGGACTGCTTTTTCCGCCAATCGGACTGGACTCCTTTTTCCATTAACCCGACCCGACCCCACTGATATGACACAAAAATGTGTCTCTTGCACATTGCCTGCCATTGCCTGCATCTTTAGACAGCATGCAAATCCTGCGCCACATGTCCGCATTTCACGTCTCTGATTGGTTGTTCCATCAGCAGCCGAAGTGCTGGCGGTGAACACAAGCCACACACATGTAAACAACTTTTCTTTGTTTGAATATAAGCGCTAAAACGCATGTATACACGTTGATATTCTGGTGAAGAAATGCACAGTTCCAAGAATATTTCAGGTAAATATATATTTCTATGCGGATTTTTGGCATTTTCAGTGTGATTTTAAAATGTACTTAACCTGGCGTACGTAGGCGTGAGTAGCAATGCTAAATGTTTAGCGTTTTTACCCTGCGTTTTACCAATCAAAACAATAAACAACTCCCACTATGGAGAACCCAGTAACATTTCTGATCCCAGCAATAATGTTTTTGATCAAAATATTTGTGGCTGTGCCTACATTTCAGACTATTCTTCTTGGGGAATACTAAGTCAGAATTGGGCAACCCTATATAGATCGTTCCACTGGCAAAATGACACAAAAACCAAAAAACATGCCGTAAGTTTCGAGAATCATTACGCTGTACTGACTTGAAATACACTGCTGTCCAGCTTTAATCATTGTCTTTATCTGTCACTTAAAGCTCAATTTTTGTTGTTGCATGGGTGTTAGGTCAGAAGAAATGTGTGTTTGCATGAAACATATGTCGGGTTAGGACCCCTCCCGTTATATACATTTTACATGTATCCAATTAGTGAATTGTGATACATTAGAATTCTCACAGATCTTTAGGTATTTGACAATAACCACCAGTAAAGTCATCATATTTTGCAAGGATCCAATTTTGCAGAAAGGTCTTCAAAATTTCATGGTGGAAACAACAGATACAGGTACATATGGTGGAAACATGGTGGAAACAATACTGTAGCAATATTCAG